TTTTATAAATATAATTTCCAATGCCATTAAATTATTTATTAGTGTAGATACCTATATATTTTATTTCATAGTCTCTTGGGATAAGAAATTACTGAAGTTTTCTATCTTTTTAGAGAACATTGTTGCTTTTTATTCAAAATTTTATTGAAAAGTGAACTTCGCATGGGTGCTGGCTCCAAGAGACTCCTTCTTTATAACATCATAGAACTGACTAAAAAATATCTCACATATGGTTAACAATATTTGTGATGATTCAAAATATGTTTAAATTTACTCTATCAAAACATTTCAAAATTTGATAGATATACATAGCAGATTCAAAACTTGTTATATTTAAGTCAACCTGAGGAATTACTAGTTTACAAACCTCGTGCTACAGAAAAGAAAGTTGAAACACTGTTAAGAGAAATTACTTGCTAAGTTCTGTTGTAGGCAGATTCAACATTTAAATCACGCTTCTGTACTTTACATAACCATTTCTTAGAGCTTTTGATTTTTAATTGAAATAGTAGAAAGGTTTTTTTTAAATTGAGTGTCCCTGAAATCCACTGATATACTCTACATTTTGTGTGCTTGTAGGGGGTAAATGTTGTAAGTAGGATCATCATATAAAGTAGAGTCTAAACCAGGAGTCTCTCATTTTTTTATATAATGTGCTTTTTAACAGCCACAACCACACATAGGTATAAACCAGAACGGAATCAGGCAAATCAGGACCTATCATCAACATACTCATAAGCAAAATTCCAACTGTGCTCAAGAGACTATGAAGTCAAATCATATGCCTGAAATCCAAATACGTGATTGCTAAACCACCAGTACTTTTGTTTCTCTTTTCCAAAAGGTAGGCAAAAATGTTCAAACACTTCACCAATGGGCCGAAGGGTACACAATCAAAATAGGTTTGAATAATGAGTAGAGTACAATACCATCTTATCATGAAATATAAAGTACAGCTTTTAAAAAATGTACACACACATATAATTATGTATGTATACATGCATATAAGTGCAATTTATTTATACAAAACAAATAATTATTTACATTTTTTGCAATTTAGCAAATAAAATAAAATAAAAGCAACATCTGCCAGAAAAGTGAAGCAAGAAATTTCAAATTCTTCCCTTCCATTAAAAACAAAACAAAACAAAACAAAACAAAACAAAACAAAAAACAAAGAAAACCAGTTGAAAAGTGGGTAAGAACTGTTGGAATCAATTTTTTTGAAACTCTAGGTATTAAACAAATGCTTGTGAAAAGCTTTGTTGGGACCTCTTACTCAAGAAAAAACTAGCGACTATTTATTCAAGAAAAAGCATGGCTGATTCTTGGTAATAACAGCGAACTTTGTGGTATTTTAAATTGCTGCTAGCCACTCTTTACTCCCCAGCTTGGCACCCATGAAATTAGCAGGCTGAAGATGGGCATGGTAGCTTGTACCTGTAATTCCAGCACTTTGGAAGACAGAGGCAGGAGGATTGCTTGAACCCAAAAGTTTGAGACCTGTCAAGGCAACAGAGAGAGACCTTGTCTCTACAAAAAATTAGAAAATTAGCTGGGTGTGGTGACATGCACCTATAGTTTTGGCTATCTGGAAGGCTAAGGCGGGAGGATTGCTTGAGCCGGGGAGATAGAGGCTTCTGTGAGCCATGATCAAACCACCACACTCTCACATGGGCAACAGAGTGAGAGCCTGTTTCAGAATAAATAAGAAAAAAAGAAAAGAAAAAGAAGAAAATAAGAGGCTGCATTCCAGTACCAAAGGGTACTTCAAAGAAGAATTAATTGTAAAAAACTGTAATTATTTGATCTGACCTGTCCAGTTGCTTGCTGAAAGAACAGCTTAAAAGGCTTGTGTTTATTTTTAAAAATGTTAAGCTCACTTAATACTAAAGCTGATTCCCAGGTTGTATGGCAAAAACATGTATAAACTAATATCCTTGGTTGCCATGGCCTGAAGTACTAGATAGCAGTTGCAACAATAATAAGCTAATGGAAAAGCTTGAGAAGAAAGGCTCAGGAATGAAATGTTACTAAGAGCTTTGAAAAGCTCCAACATGTTCCTGGAAGCTAAAAGCCCATCCACATGTTCAGAACGGTATGTGTGTTAAGCAAATATATAAGAAGACTTTGCTAAGATCTCATCTTCTGCTGAACCTAAAGCGTAATGAAAGCCAGAAGTGAAGGCTAAGGCAGAGTCATTAATTGCCTTGATGAATGTGCAAAATGTGCCCCAAATAGACACAACATTCTTCAGGAAAGATTAGAAGATTTTTTGGTTCTAGTCACTTAAAAAAAAATGGCCATTAGCTGATCACAAAGAAAACATAACAGAAACTCCGGAGAAATATATAAAAAAGAATACAGACTTTATGGACCAAGTTCACAATAGTACCAAACAAGCAACAACAACTATAACAGAATGAACAACAAATCTTGACGACCCTTGGGAAGGATATAGAATCTAATTTCCAAAGTCGGTGCATTATAATAGTCAAAGTGTCCATTTTTCAGAAACAAAAAGTATAGCAATAGATAGAAAACAAAATACTTGGATATGATCTATGCCTGAGAAAGTTAAGGTTTACTGACTAAGAACTTCTAGGATTGTCATTCAAGATCTACAATTTGAATAAATTTCTTACATGATTCTAGGTCTAGATCACATTTGTACCTAAGTATATTAGCCAGTTTTTTTTTTTTTTTTTCAAACTTTATTTTAGGTTTGAGGGTACTGGTACAGGTTTGTTATATAGGTAAATTGGATGTCATAGGGGCTTGGTGTACAGATTATATCACCATGTATGTAATAAGCATAGTACATATTGGTTGGTGTTTATTGACTTAAAGTATTTCTACATGATCAAATTATAGAATTCCCTAATTTGAAATGGCCTTAATGGCCTTGAGGTTAAACTTACTTTTAATGCATGTTTCCAGTAATAAGAAAAAAGGCTCATTACAACAGTTGCAATGGGAATCTCATGAAATTTTGTATTTCTAAAGACTGTAACAATTACACATATATTCTCATTTTTTGAATAATGTAAAATTAATATTACTGTGCTCATTTTCCAGTTACAGAAAGTTATTTTCATAAAGGTTAAACATGGGATCACATATCTATTTAGTGACATTACTAAAATTAAAAGAAAAATATACCATTTTGTTTCATTTACAAACATACAACACATACACATGTACATTTATACAAATATGTGCATAGAAAAGATATTCAGCAAGTTATTTTCAGATATTTTATTTAATGAAGTGATGGTTAGGGTTTTTAAAAATATCTATCTTTTTAATTTAAAAACATTATTTTAGAGGAAGGAAGTTTATTTTTGTGTAATTTTAATTTATTTAGAACTGTCAAGAAATTCCAATATGTCCTTTATTCAGTTTCACCAGATGTCTGTATTTTGCTCCATTTGCCTTACCTTCTCTTTTTCTCCATATATATCAAATATGTGCATATATGTCTGTCTGTCACTCTCTCTCTCTCTCTCTCTCACCTTAAACAACTCCCATTAACATTTGTTTTAATGCAATTCTATGAGCAATTAATTACCTCAGTTTTTGTTTACTGAAAATACCTTTACTTGGCAATCATTTTTGAATGACATTTTTGCTGGTTATAGTATTCTGGATTGACAGAATTTATTTCTGTTTTTCTTCATGTAATTTCATTTTTTCCTTGATTTTCAGAGTTATTTATAAATAGTAAGTTATTATGCATATTGTTTCAATAAGGTTTTTTATTTGAAATTTTTTAAAAAGACATCTTTAGTTTTCATCAGTTTAATTATGTGCCTAAGCATGGTTCCTTTCTTTGCATGTATCCTGCTTGAGGTTTACTAAGCCTCTTGGAACTGTAGTTTTTTGTTTGTTTTAGCTTAGTACAAACATGCCAGCAACAGCACATGGCAGGCCATTGCTGAGGGCATAGGTGCTTTATTGGAGAGGGGATGTGGGCAGGGGACGAGGAAGGTTATCCATTCCAGGAGGATGGGAAGAGTCCCGGCTGCCCCTGACAATGGGATATGCAAAGGGCTCTGCCCAGGCCACAGTCCAGATGGGAAGACACCAGTCAGTCACAAAGTCATGGGAGCGCCACACAAGCCTGGCTGTAGGCCCAGGAACCATATAGGGGCCTGAGACAGGTCCCCTGCACATTCATCATTAAACTATACAGGATGAGGCTGTACATGAGTTAATTACAAAAGAGTCGTATTTACAAAAATCTGTACACACATTTGAAAAACTCACAAAATTGTCATCTATGTATCACAAGTTGCTAGACCAAAATATTAAAAATGGGATAAAATTATACATTTTTCAATTCTTTTCAAAAGGATTAATATTTTTAAAGCACATATATGCTACTTTCCATTAGCAAGACCCATGAAGGGACTGAGCAGTCAAGCCTTCCTTGAGCCCCCAAAGGCTTTGAACCATGGCCCAGCCAGGAGCTAGTGCCCAGGGTTAAGGCAGGGAGCCAGCCCACAGTGCAAAACAAAATGCTGAAACAGCAAAAGTAGGAAGATATCTTTGGCTAAAACTTTGGCATTAAATAAAAGAGGCAAACAGGATGGAAACACGCAGCCCTGTCAGCCAGGTTGGGGCAGAGCAGGGACACAGGCAATCTTGAAAGCTGACTCCAAAAGGGGTGAGAACCAGGCCTGGGCATGTTCCTGGATGGTAGAAAGCTGTGTTTCAACCAGTTTGGTGTGCCCAGGCAGGGAGCGCATGCAAAAAAGGAACAGGGAAGGGCAGGTGGGCCACCCTGGCCACAGCCAGCTTATCAAGTAACTAAAGTGGATGTAGTGCAAATGTCGCAACCAAGTATTACAGACACGCTACCTGCTTGCCATAAGGGTCAGGTGGCAATGTGGGGCCAAAGGCAGGAGCTTGTTCTTATTCTCAGTGCCTGTGCCCTCAGTCACAGAAAAAGCCCCAAATCTTCCCAATGCGCATGTGACAAGCGTTGATGTGTCCTGCTTCCTTGCACGTTAGTTGAGAGCTCCTGGGTCCAGGAATCAAGGCTCAAAGTTTGTGCTTCTCTTTGCAGTCTGTGTCCCCTGCTGACATCAGCAGGCCGAGGATGGACAGAAGAATATCTGGGCCGCTCAGCCCATGGCAGAGCACCCAGCCTGAGACCAACTTCAGAATATCACAGCAGCCCTTCAACACTGGCCAGGTGTCCAAGAAAACCCACAGGGTGGTACAGAGGCCCACTGGGCAGGATGTGAGGCACAGTTAAACGGGACAGAGGGGCATGAGTTGTGATGTCCCTAGGGGAGCTCCGATGTTCTCAGGTGGGTACCAGGCCTAGGGGGGGCCATACAGGGTCACCGAGGCAATGTGGTTGTTCTGCATGACCTCAAAGATCATTTGCTGAAGACCAAAGCAGAACGTGGAGCCAAATGGGCTGGTGGTGTTTGGGGAGGAAGACCTGTGCAGGACAACAGCCTTCTCCACAGGGTGACCTAGGAGCTCCTGGATGTTGTTCCACTTACTGTAGGTTGTGCACGTTTCTGTCTGACCATCTGCGTTTTCTTTCTTTATGGCTAATGGGATCTTTAACTCACAGCGATGATAAATGTTGAAATTATAATGCCCAGGGTAACTGGTGTGTAGAACGAACTTCTTCACTTTGTGTGTATTTGCATCAAAGAGGATGTCCACTCCAAGAGTGAAATAGTTAAAAAAGTAGTCATTGCACTTCGATGGAACTTGTTTATGAGGGGAAGGAGAATGAATTTTCATCTTGTTTTCTGATTTATAAAAGACTTTGTGTGGAGAGCCAAGCATGCTGAGAGCATCTTGGCAGGAATCACCAAAATACACTGAACGTTCAAATACCTGCATCTTGGCATCTGCTAATAGGCCAGGTCCACAACCTACAGTAAGTAGGCAAAGTTGTAAACCTGCAGGTCCAGTTCCATCTCGAAGAACATCTACACTCTCAGCATACACATTGCCCAGGAAACAGCTCAGAGGCATCATGGGAGCCTTGGTATCCTGTAGGCTGTTGCCACTGTAGATATACATTCGTTTTACAGTTGCTCCATGGGGTATCTGGAGAGAAGCCAGGCCGTGGGCAAAATTGGGCTCATACTTGGGAGCCTCGGTCCATGAGTCTAATTGAAAAGAGAAAGACAGTCCTCTGAAGTTGAGATGGAAGAGCTGCTCAGTGGAGTTGTACACTCCAGGATGGGTTGCACCAAAAGACTGGTCAATCTGCTCAATGGTAGGAGCTATGGCCTGAGAATTAAAATGCACGCCACAATATTTTAACTTTACTTTAGTCAAATCATATACTTCGATCACCTGTTCACTGTAGAGAGCCTGGACATTTTTGATGATGCGACAGTGCTTCTGAAGAATGGCTACTGCCTGAGCCAGAGGCATTCCCAGTGTGAATTTCCATTGCTCGTTCCTTAAAGAGCGTTCAGGCACCACCTCCAGGTCCAGTATTGGTTCGGCTCGCCTGGCCCAGGCGGCCTCCCTGTGGCAGCGCAGACCCGACCGGAGCTCACCTCACTTCACCTGCGGCAGCCGCGGCGGTGGGGGCAGCGGCGGCCTGTTTTTTTTTTTTTTTTTTTTGTGCAAAATCTTGGGAAATTTGAACCCTTATATATTGCCAAATATGTTTTTCTCCTCTGTTAAGTTCTCCTCTCACTGCAACTCCAATTCCTATTATCCTATGATTTGCAACTCTGTATGTAATTTTAACAGTTTTCTCTATTTTGTTCTTCCGAGTAGATAGTTTCTATTGACTTGATTTTCTTGTGTAGTATCTAATAAAATGTTAATTAAAGTTTTTATTTCATATAGGGTCATTTTTCAGCTCTACAATTTCATTTCAGTTTTTTAAATATAGTTTTTCTTTATCTACTACTATTTCCTGTCTGTGCATATTTATAATAACTACCTTTAAGTTCTTAATACAAATATCTGGCTCATCTCTCTTTTTTCCCTTGGCTGATTTCTCCTGAGACTATGAGTCACATTTTCTGTTTCTTTGCTTATTTAAAAAACTTCTGATGGTATATTTGGCATTGTTGATAATATATGAGATTATGTCATATCTTTTTCAAAAAGGGTTTTAATCGTAAGCTAAATTACTGGAAAATTATCTTGTCCCTAAAAGGGACAAGATAATTATTCTTTATTAAACAGGCCTAATATAGTTTAGGACCTAGCCCTAAATGATGCCTTTGACTTTAAGTCAGGGTTAAGCAAATTATGACCCACAGTCCCAACCTGGCCTGTTACTTGTTTTCGTGAAAAGGTATTATTAGAACACAGTCATACTTGTTCATTTATGTCTAGTCGATGACTGCTTTTACATTATAATGGTAAATTTGAGCAGTTGTGACAGAAATTGTATGTCTCACAAAGTATAAAATATTTACTATTTAGCTTTCTACAGTAAACGTTCTAACCTTTATCCTGGAGCATGGTCCTTACTCTTCAGTCATGGCAATTAATATGCTACATATAAATGCCTGGGATGCTCAATAAGGTGTTTCTATTATGATAGGGTCAGAATTTTAATATGTCAATTTTTAAAAACTCTTGTGTATGAGTGTGAGAGAATGCAGAGTCTTTTAATGGCTTTTGCCCCTTGTCTATCAAATTGTTGGTCCCTTTATCTTAACTTTGTAGGTTTTTAAAAATAAGTCAGGGTAATTACCCTTTTATATTTTTATATGTCTTGCAAACATTTTCTCACAGTTATTCTTTCAACTTTGAATTTTGTTGACAAGCAAAAGATGCATTCTAATATAGTAAAATGTATTTACCATTTCCTTTAAGAATTCCCAACTCCAGCATGATGGCTATGTTGAACAAGAAAATGTTTTGTTCTAGGGAATTGACCTGTGCATTCTAGGATGTGCAGTCTCATTCTTGAAGTCTACCTACATACCAGTAGCACACACCTCATTTTCTTTTCCATTATGACAAAACTATCCACAGACAGTTCTAGATGTAACCTGTACAACAAAATCATCCCTAATTGAGAACCACTATTTTATTGAATTTGAGCATTAAGTTATAAATATAAAATATTTTTCTACACTAAGGCCGAAGTGGAATTTCTTCTAATATTCCTATGGTTTTATTCATCCATTATTCATTTTTACATTTAGATACAGAAGTCATTTGGAGCATTTTATTGTGTATGTTACAAAGTATGGATATATTTTATTTTCTATATAGTTATATGGTTGTTTCATCATTACTTACTAAAAAGTACATCTTTGTTCTAATGATTTGAAATAGATATAATAATTTATATATATATTAGAATTTAATTCTGGATCTTCTAGTCTATTCAACTCTTTGTGACTATTTAAATTATATATAGATTGTATGGTATATTTAATACCTGATAGGGCTAATATACCATTGAAGCTTTTTTTATGATTTTCTACTTATTTCTTTATATTTATCTTATATCCAATTTACTAATTTGTCTAGCATCACAAAATACTATTTGTATTCCTTTTGAGATGTTTTAAACTTTAAAAAGCAACTGAGATGCTTATGATGTCTACAAATCATTTATCCAAGTAAAAAGTAATATATTTCCATATAACTATATCTGTTTTTGTATCTTTTACAGTGTTTACAACATTTTTCTTATATAGCTTTCCCCATTATTTTTATTCATTTTTGTCTTCATTGTTGTTATGATACATAAGTTTGTAATAACCATTATTTCTTCAAACTGGCTATTTGTGCATACAAATTCTACTAATTCTGGGGAGTAATTTTATACTTTACTGATACCTTACTGATTTATCTTATTGTGTGAGATAGATTTATGTATTGATTTCATGATTTAGCAGGTATACTATTTTATCATTAGCTAATAAAGCTAATTTAACTTTCTTGTTTCACTTCTTATTTTTCTAACAAATTTTCCATGAATTCTTACATTTACATGTCATGCGTTTAATTTCATGTAGTAGTGGAGACAGTGACTGTCTTTAACTCCTTCCTGAACTTTTGGAAAACCTAGAGTAAGTATTTTCCTAAAAGATGTAATGCTTCTTTTAGGATTCAGGTATATTCAAGCAAAGACATACACACAGACATTCACATATACACAAACACAAAAATATACATATACAAATTTGAGAAAATATATATTCTATATTCTTGACTTTTATATCAGAAATGTTTATTGTGTTTTGGACAAAAGCTTTTTCAGTATTAACAGAGATAATAAAAGTTTTCTGTTTATATCTATTACTAGGGTTCATTATTATAATGGAGTTTTAAACATTGATTTGATCTTAGAATTATAGAATAAATCCCACTTATTTATTGTTTGCTATTTTTAAGTGATATTAAATTCTGTTTACTGGTATTTTATTATTTTTGCATTGATATCCATAACTGATATAATATTCCAATGGTTTTATTTATGTATTTAGTGCTGTATCAGGTTTAGTAAATACTACCCTTGTCTCATAAAAATAACTAAATCATTTAGATATTTTTCTTTAACTTTTATGATCTGTAAATAATGTATGCATTTTCAGGATTATCTGCTCTTTACAAGTCAAATATCTGAGCCTGAAACTTTTGCTAGAATTGTTTCTTAAAAACTTTCTATATTTTTATTCAATTTATTCTGTTTAAGCTTTCTCTATTTAGTTGGGTTAAATTTTAAAAATCCAAGCCCCCAAGACTTTATCCAGCTCTTCAAAGATTTCAAATTCATCTGTATAAATGCCTGCAAAATAGTCTGTTCAATTGTTGTATTCTTGCTATTTCAATGGTTATTTTTCTTTATGAGTTCATGTTTTATCTTTATGACTACCCTTTAATTTTTTGTTTTATTTTAGGTCTGGGGATACATGTGGAAGTTTGTTACATAGGTAAACATGTATCATGAGGATTTGTTGCATATATTATATCATCACCCAGGTATTAAGCCCAGTATCCTTAGTTATCATTTCTTCTCCTTTCCCTCTTCCCACCTTCCCCTGTCAAGTAGACCTCAGTGTCTGAAGTTTTCTTCTTTGTAAGTTCTTTTCTTTAGCTCCCACTTACAAGTAAAAACATGGTTTTCTGTTTCTGCATTAGTTTGCTAAAGATAATAGCCTCCAGCTCCATCTATGTTCCTGCAGAAGACATAATCTCATTCTTTTTTGTGGCTGCATAGTGTTCCATGGGGTATATATGCCATGTTTTCTTTATCTAATCTGTCATTGACGGGCATTTAGGTTGATTCTATGTCTTTGCTATTGTCAACAATGCTGCAATGAATATTCATGTACATGTGTCTTTAGAGTAGAATGATTTATATTCCTCTAGGTATATATACAGTAATGGGATTGCTGGGTTGAATGGTGGTTCTGCTTTTAGGTTTTTGAGGAATCACAATACTGCCTTCTACAATCGAGCTAATTTGCACTCACACCAAGTATGTAAGTGTTCCATTGTCTTTGCAACCTCACCAACATGTTATTTTTTGACTTTTTAATAATAGCCATTCTGACTGGTGAGATGATATCTCATTGTGGTTTTGATTTGCATTGCTTTAATGATCAGTAATACTGAGCTTTTTTTCATGTGCTTGTTGGCCACATGTATGTCTTCTTTTGAGAAGTGTCTGTTGATGTCCTTTGCCCACTTTTTAGTAGGGTTGTTGTTCTCTTATAAATTTGTTTAAGTTTCTTATAGATGTTGGATATTAGACCTTTGTCAGATGAATAGTTTGCAAATACTTTCTCCTGTTCTGTAGGTTCTCTCCCTTCTCTGTTGATAGTTTCTTTTGTCGTGCAAAAGTTTAATTAGATCTCTTTGTCAATTTCTGTTTTCATTGCAATTGCTTTTGGTGTCTTTGTCATGAAATCTTTACTGATTCCTATGTGTAGTATAATATTGCCTAGGTTGTCTTCCATGGTTTTTGTTTTGTTTTGTTTTGTTTTGTTTTATAGTTTTGGGCTTTACCTTTAAGTCTTTAACCATCTTGTTGGCTTTTTTTATATGGTGTAGGAAAGGGGTCCAGTTTTAATATTCTGCATATAACCAGCCAGTTATCAGATGGTCATAGATCAAATGTTTATAGATATGTGATTTTATTTAAGTGCTCTTTATTCTGTTCCATTGGTCAACGTGCCTTTTTTTTTCACCAGCACTATGCTGTTTTGGTTACTTTAGCCTTGTGGTATTTGAATTATGTAACATGATGCTTCCAACATTGTTTTCTTTGCTTAGGATTGCCTTGGCTTTTGGGTTCTTTTTTGAGTTCCGTATGAATTTTTAAATCCCCAACAAAATACTTGCAAACTGAATCCAGCAGCACATCAAAAAGCTAATCCATGATGATCACATTGGCTTCATCTCCAGGATAAAACATTGGTTCAACATATACAAATCAATAAATATAATTAATTACATAAAAAGAACTAAAGACAATTACCACATAATTATTTCAATCGATTTTTATTTTGTTTTAGGGTCCTCCAGAAAAACAGACCAGTAATCTAAAGTAGACAGATAGATAGATATTATAGGGTGTTGGCTCATATGATTCTGGAGGCTG